GTTAGCTCTAGGGTTAGAGTTAGAGTTTTTTTATATTATAATTTTATAATATTTTTATATTGCCCAGCTATACTAAAAAAGATCTCTATATTTTTATAATTAATACTTTTACTTTGCAAAAATCAAATAGCTAAATCTTCAAATATTTTTTTTTTTTATATATTAACTTTTTTTTTTAGATTTTTTTTTTAAACTTATTACTTTCTAAACTCTTTAGAATCTTCTTTCTCTTTATCTATATAAATATTAAAATAAATAATAAATTTTGTATAAAGTACTTTTTATATTTATAGTAATTTTAAAAAAAACAACTTTTAACTTATTTTTTGAATCTATAATAACTTAGAAAAAAATAAATTTTTTGTTAAAAAATTAGCAAAATTTTATTTATTTTATATATTTTTTTTGGCCTAAAAACATTTTATTATTTTACTATAAGAAGTATTTTAAACTATTTAATTAAAATAAAGATACAAATATACTAAAAAAATTTTTTATATTATATATTTTGTTATATTTTATTAATTAAAAAATTTTTATATACAATACTAGCCCAACTATATTTTTAATATAGTATATTTTATTTAAAACATGTTAAATATAATAGAAAAGTAATATTGTTTTTAGTAAAATTTTTTTATTTTTAAATTAAAATATTTTAACAACTATTTAATCAAATTTGCTAAATATTTTTTTATTTTAATTTTGAAAATATATAAAATTAAAATAAAAAAATTTTTATTAAATTTTGATAAATTAATTGCCAAAATATTTAAGCTTAAAGTTAAAAAAACTTTTATTTAAAAAAAATTTTCTTTTTTTATTAACTTTCCTTATATATCTGGTTATATATAATATTAAATTTTGTATAAACTAACAAGAGTTTTATTATAAAAAGCTAAAAGTTTAAGTAATTTATTGTTTTAAGCATAGCAAAAAACTTACAATAGATAAGCAAATACTAAAAATATTATAAATTTTGATTATCTAACAATTTACTTGTATATTTTTGCATATTTGTATAACTTATTTGTTATATTTTGAATATTTAGCTATATCTGTTTTTTAGTAAATATTAAGATAGATATGACTTATAGTATATTATTACATATAGGCTAATTAAAATATTAAAATTGTAGAATAAATATATAAAAACTTATAAATTATTTATAAAAAACTAATAAGTAACTAATAAATAACTTATAAAAAATTTTATAATAATTAATTAAAATATTATTTTTAATTTTATAAATCAATTTAATTGGCTTAAATTGGGTTTTGTATAACAGATTATATATAAAAAATATAATCTAGCCAACTATATTTATTTGTAATTATGTGATAGCAGGCTATTGGTATTTTAATTAATTTTTAAATCTAATAATCTCTCAAAACCAATACAAAAGCTGTTTATTATGTATATTAGATTTGAGAGTATGTACTATATATGTCTGAGGCTTTTTGTATTAAATGTTTTAAATAAAAACTTTAACTCTTTAAAAATCTTATATTAATCTAAGTTTTACTAACCTTTATTTTAATTTATAATAGCATTCTAACTCTATACTTTACTAGCAAAACTATTAAAAATATATATGATGTTAAACACTAGTAGTGTAATTTAGTGCTATTGTTTAAAGAATTCAAAGAATTCATCAAATTTAGATTAGAAAGATTTAGATTAGAGAGAGATAACTATATTGTAATAAGTAAATAATTTATAAAAAAAATAAAATTTAAAATGATATTATTGCAAATTTGCAAGCTTTTTCTCAAGTTTAAAGAATTGTATAAAAATATTAATTTAATCACCCTTTTAAAAATATATACAGTATATTATAATATAAAGAATATAATTTTCTTCTTCATATCTATATGATTTTTACATACTACGAGAACTTTTGGCATTCTAATATTATATGAAAGTAATAGTAATTCTCCACCGATTTTTACTATGAAATTTATACCTTCAACTGCGATCTACAACTTAGAGTGTTCTCAAGCAGCACGCTCGATGTGATTAGCTAGTGATTGAGATACAGTAGCGCTCAACCGTTATGACGTTATTAATTAGACCGTTTTTGAGAACGATAGTATGATGTTGAAAACCGATAGTATAGATGATAATATTAAAAATATTGAATGCAATTGAGGCTTGAGCAAATATCTTTACCATTTAGCGAAATAATAATAATAATAATAATAATGAAAAAGTAACCAACGACCCTTTCAAATTCTGTTTCTTCTTTTTCAGAATTTACTACAAACCAACAGAACACAAAAGTGTGTCTTTTTTATTTGCGGCGAAGATTTTTAGCATAAGTAATAAGGTAATAATGATTTTGAAGATCCATAACGATAAAAAAGTGGAACAATTATTTTTCTAATCAATCAATGAAAAATTTCGACCAATAAACATAACTCTTGACAAAAAAAAGGGACGCTTGGGACTCTATCTCTTATTGATTGAAATGATAATACCCTTAATCGGTAAACGAACTTCCGCTAATAAAAATTTTCTTTTTGACGTATTAAACTTTCTTCACGTGATTTATTCATTGGAATAATCAATACAATTGATTCGTTAAACTACAGAACTATTTTTTTACTTATAAAAAATTACCCACAGACCCGTTCCGACAGATTGATTATGGTGCTTTAGAACACCCTTAATCGATTTTTTAATTCAACGCAAATTAGTTAATCTTAAATACATCCAAACAATACACTACACTCTTTAACGTTAAATACACATCTGCATTAATTTAGCGTATTGAACTCGAAAAAACTAGCACAAGCGCTAGTACTAATACCTTTCGTAAAAAACGGTTTAACTATAACCGGTAAAAAATTATTATTGTCTGCTACGCATTCAATAACTATATATTATTACTAAAATTTTTATAATACAAATTACTCTGCAATCCACTGATCGGATCGAACAGAATATAAATTATATATTGTATATAAAAATGACAGTTTAAGAAAAAAAAAAAAAAAAAAAAAAAAAAAAAGAGTATGATGTCTTTTTTATCCCGCACCCGCACCCGCATCTGCATCCGCATCAAATAAAAACAATCATATTAGTGCAACCGCCAGGGTTTTTTTTTTTTGTTTTTTTTTGATATGCGGTTATCGTTATTAATACTATAATATATAAGATGTAATATAATAATAAAGCTAAATAATACAAACGGTTTACATATAAAAAGAAAAGCCGATATAATCAACACCCAGACCCAGATAACCCAAATATACAAATCTAATTAAAACCGAGTTCTATGGTATTGATCCAATGTACTTTGGAAAGGATCTTGATTTCCTCTTAGTACTACTTCACCACCATCATATTCATCATCATATCGTATTGATAAACGATATCTTCGGTAACAATAACATCCTGAGGTCGCAGCACCTAGGAGAACAAGACCACCAACGACGAGAATACCTACCACTAAACCTGATGGACCACCACTATCATTGGAAGAATCATTAATAGAATTACCACTACCACCATTTGTACCAGGAAAATTCGGATTAGGAGTAGCTCCAATTGATGGAAGAACAGTAGATATACTCGTTATTGTGATAACCTGACGTACAGGTGTTGATGTTATTATTGATATTGGTTTTGATTTTTTTTCTTGTAATGATGATTGTAGTGGTGGTGGTGATGGTGCTGGTGAAGGTGATGGTGATTGTGTTGTTAATAATGGTGGTGGTGTTTCTGCATTTACATTATTAGGAGAAGTATCTGTTGTAGGTTGGGTAATTTGGTTAGAGGAAGGGGTAGCCAAAACTATATTAGAAGTAATGGGAACTATGCCTTGGGTTATTGATGGTATTATTTGAGATGCAACATCTTGTGGTGAAGCAAATGCGGATAACTTTTTATAATGTAAAGCAAAGAAGAGTAAAGTGAATGAGAAAAATGAAAAAATTAAAGACGACCTCATGAACAAACTTTTTATGAGTAAAGGGGATAATGCAATTAAAAAAAAGTATATGTTTTAACTATTTAAGAAATTTATTTGATTAGAACTTCTAATTTTCAAACAAATACTTAAGGATGGTCGACTGAATGTAAAAATAAGGATGTTAAAGGGGTTAAACGTTTCAGAAAATACATAACGAACACTATGCTAAGTATAATAATTCACTTAACAGGCAGCGAAAAAATGAAAATTAACGACATACCTTTAATTTGAATATAAAATGAATGAATCACCATCGTCCAAGATATTAATAAAGAGAGGATAAAAAAGACTAAAAAACTAAAACCCTCAATTTATGAAATTTAATTTATTTTAAATTGATGTTGACCAAATCTAGGTATGAAAATGCATCTGATCGATGAGTTTACACAAATTACATTTTCTAAAAACAGTCACACAAATTGCTTCGAATTACTTCGGCAATCTAAATGATGACAAGTGCAATTGGGATGGAGTATACTATCTACGTATTTACTGTCTAACTATTTAGCTATCGAACGTTAATATAATTTTCTAATTCTCTTTAAGGGTTTATTGTTACGCTGTTGACCATGTTCTCTCTCTTTTGAAGATGTCCAGACTCCTTTAATTTGATACGTGGTTACGTAGTAATGGACACAAAATTTATTCATTCATATTGTGTTCTGTATCAACACTGTTGTGTTTACTCGTTACACGGCAACTTTTAGTACGAATTTAGAAATGCCCGTAAAATTATTAGTGTTATTTACATTTATATATATATATGTTAAAATCACTTTTAGGGCACATGTAACAAAAAAAACTTATATATATCAATATATATCTAATCTAACATGCACAAATGTACTGTACGTACGTACATATTAATATATATATCAAATATGTATATAGGATACGTCAATTCCTTGTTGCCTTATTATGTAATCCATTGTACGTATTCAAAGGTTTCGTCTACATTCCAGGGTAACCGTCAAAATTTCTAATTCATATGAGCAAGATATTATTGTTGAAAAAATGGATTGTTAACCATGTAATGCAGGTAAAGCCATTCTGCTACCCAAATGAAAAATTGTCATTAGATTAATAGTTTTTAATATAAGCATAAAATGTCTGGTAAATTGATAACACAACTTTAATAGCTATTCGTAATGTATTAAGTTCACGTTGTTGGTGAAAATGCACATATACGTAGAATGCGAACTTATGGAAAGTAATCTACATAAATCTACATATAATGTTACTTGTTATATAAATTACATAACATTGATTAAAATGATGTGTACTTATAGAGGGAAAGTGAGGGTCATTGTAGTCCTTGATACGTCTGATTGGTGGTCGAATATTGCTTACCGTTATATTTTTTTTATTATTAACTATAAATTTATTTGGTACGGATTGTATTTTTCGGTCATGATTATCCTCCATTTTTTTAAAAAAGAAAACAGAAAGTTTCACAGAAATGGTTGCATTGTATGATACGTACTTTATGCTTTTACAATTTGATTACTCTCTTATCTGTTATAATCAGAACGATCACTTATAGGCATTGGATGGATTGAACCAGACTAACTATAGTCAAAATATTAAACCATAATTAACCAATCAGCGTAGCTATGATTGTATAACTACGGCCCCATTAAGCAGAGCCTGAAGAAAAATTCCTCAATTTTCTATTTATTTGAAGTTCACAACTATCGTATATTTATGTTCGTTATTGATTTATTATGGTTTAATTCGCTATTATTTTGAAATTTTGCACTTTTATATATCGATTTATTATGTTAAAAATAACCAAATTTGCACGGGTTTACATGGCTGAAGGCCATGCCGTGCAAATTTAGTTATTTTATAACCCATATAATAACTATTTTATTGCACGGTGTCTGACGTACAATCCCGTGCCAGTAAGTAAATGAAAAAAGCACGGGTTGTTACATAAGACCCGTGCAATAAATTTATGTATTAAAAGCATAGCTTATGTCGTATCCCACGCAATAAATTAGATTTTTATTACGTGGAACGTAAAACACTGGCGTTTATTGTACACCATTAGACATATTAAGGTAATGCTTGCACAGGTCGAACGATGGCAAATCGGGTGTCTGATCATCAGGAAATTAAATAAGTGCAAATCTGCAAAAATCTGCGAAAATGCAGAATTTTTTGCAAAAAACTGCAAAATTTTTTATATTTTGAAATTTTTCACAGAATTTCTGTAGCTATAGCTGGTGAGTCTAAAGTTTTGCACAGATTTCATTTAATTTATTATTTAATTTTTTTGCAAATCAGCATTAAAAAATTTTTCCTGATGATTTAATTACCACATTAAATTGATTTGTTAAATGGGTTTGTGCGTGTGACCATAATCAACTGATTTGTCATGATCCGATAAATGCAAAATTATGCGTGCGCCAGAATTAGGGCTGAAAACTATGAACTGCACTAGCGTTGCACTCTAAAAAATTCCGCTAGCCAATCAGATTTTAAGATCAGGTATAATGTACAAAAATCAAAGCAATTTACTTATTAAACTGCCTTCTGTGAAGGTATTCTTGCGAAATTTTTGGTTCTATTAAAGTCTTTCTAATAGCAAAATATAACACTAATCTTATATTACTGTAGCGAAATTTTTAGGTAATGCTAGGAGAGTTAAAATAATTACTTTACATACAAATCATACTAACAAAGTTTGACCGGTATTTATCAATCGACAACTGTTACTACATTTGGAGCTATAATTTAATTTTTAATACCAAGTACTGATAGTTTGGCCAGCGCTATTCATAAGATTACGTAGTATTCCACAATATGGATTCGAGATTCGGATTCGATCCGCAAATCCATTTCGAATCCATAATTTGCAGATCCTGCGGATCTGAATCCAAAGAGGGATAATATTCGATTCAGATCATTATTATTACTGAAATACACAAACGCCAAAACTCTGATTTCTTATGATCTTTTTTTTTTAAAAAAAAAACATAAAATATTACTTCAAAATACATCGAGCTAATAGTGCCAGATATCGAACTTCATTGAATGGTTTAAACATAAATGAATGTGCAGCATATATTAATAGGATTGCGCGTGAGTTAAGAAGATTCAGATGCGAATCTTGCTTCTTGTGGACTGTAGCATGCTTGTTTCTGAAATGAGGTTACGATTAGTACGTAATTCCAAATTGAGCAGTTAATTAAATATACTTATCGTATAACCGCAAAATAACATTCGTGAACGTTATTTTGAAAATCGGGTGCTTCAAAAATAACTTATATGGTCTCGAATTAGCACTCATGAGTGTCTCGAATTAACGCGCATCCTAATGTAGCACATAGATAAATATACTACAAGTGCATTTCACATGCACTTTCCCTATAATGATAAGTGTTCATAATTTGATTGGTCTAATGTAATTCTTTAATATTATATGTAGATTTATTCTTCATAAATGAATGCTCTTTCTTATCGTTACGCTTGTTTTTGAAATGAGGTTATGATTAATACATAATTAGATCAAGTTCCAAATTAAATATAAGCTCATGGGCGTTATTTTGCTTAAAAATAACTTATATGGTCTCGAATTAGCGCTCACGAGCGTCCCGAATTAACGTGATAGATATGTCGATACTTAATCAATAAGTGCATTTTACATTCACTTTCCCTATAATGATAGGTGCTCATAATTTGACCGGCATAATGTAATTATTTAATATTGTATTCTCCATAAATGAATAAATAGCTGCGCGACATTGTCGTGCTAAACCAGGAACGGATAAATATAAGCTTAATTTAGAAAAGTTGACAAACCCCAATACAGAATAGTTATATTTAGTTTTGAATTCAGATAAATAAAATATCGGGTATACAACTAAATACGGCATAACTATATTGATGAGATACTACAATTTAAATAAACATTTGAAGATTTTTAGATGTAGATAGTATAGAATGTAATATACCTCTTTAAAAAACATAACATACCAATCCACTATAATTTTCTAATGCTAACCCTAATAATACATAACGCCAAATAGATATTGAAAATAGGGGTACTTCACGCCCCATACTGTACGTACAGATCTGGTTATACTAATCTGCATAATTAGAAACATTTTTGGCAGATGATAATTATACAGACTAATGTGGATAAGAAGCTAAATGAGAGGTAAGCAGCTCATATTAAATACTTATAACAATTAAACCAATAAATAATCACTAAACTTAGAGACTAAGGGTGTTCTCAATGTGATTAGCTAGCTACCGAGATCGTGCATAAAGTACGTACTATGATTAATTGAAGCGATCATTACTGTAATTTTCTAAAGGTTCATATCGCAAAATGTGGATAATGAATTTTGCCAACCAGAACAAGTCTAAGGTGGTTTCAAACTTTTTTTCATCGGGATAATGAGCCTGACTTTCCACAATTTAGAATTTGAGCTTCGACCTATTAATTATGTGCTTGAATTTTAAATCAATACGAATAAAAATTTAACCGAGAAATTAATTAATATATTGATTGATAATGTTTAATTGATTAAATAAGAAGAGTTTTGTAGACCAATTTAAGCCTATTAAAGATTTTTGAGCTGTTAGTGCTTGTATGGCTTCTTTAACTACCATATTGCTTTAAAATAATTATTACTGTAGCTACGTAATAATATTTTAATGCAATACTACTGCAGTACTGTATCGGTACAGTAGTGGTACAGTATTATCTACCACAGCTTGAGCCATTGTTTAAGTCATTGTCTAGCCATGACACAAGTTGTGGCTTCAATAACTATGGCTTTGTCGATTCAATTGCAGCTAAAACCTGCTTCGGATAAGCCATTAACGTAGAGTACCTGGCAAAGTAGTCACAGACATGCTATAGTGGCATGCTAAAAGATGTCACCTCATCACAAAATAACTTATAAATATAATTGGCTGGTGTTAATAAGGCAGTATATATAATATATATAAAATATGTGTTATGTATTAGTGGCATGCCAGAGCGGAATCCTGGCATGAATTTAAACAAATGGCATGCCAAAATTTTTTAAGCGTGCCAGGTACTCTACGTTAACGGCTCTGAAGACTATCTGAAGACAGTTGAAAACAAATCCATATTTGGTTAGTTCAATTACGAAGGACAATAATAATAAAAAGCACATTTTTATAAATGATCGTTATTTCGGTATCAGGCTTCAAATGCGATTAGAATTAATGGTTGTATTCAAGGCCTAACTGGCTTGTCCCTGGCATATTCCTGCTTAGCCGTCTTTTCAATATGTTTACTTCTTATCAGCCTGATTTTTATTTATTTATTTTTTAATTTCGTTCATAAATCCATTCGATTTTTTTTTTTTAATTAAAATCGGATTGGCTTTTTCTTTATTTTTTTGTTTACGCTTCGGGTGGGTTGATATAATTATATAATTTAAAGTAACTAATAGTTTTTGTGCAACTACAAAAAAAATCTTTCGTGAATCTGGTTGGATTCGGATCGGATCGAATCCGGATCTGCATGATACGGATTCGAATCCTAGCTTGGATTCGATTCGTACTTCGAATCGAATCCGAATCTTTGGTCGGATGGTTATCGAGATATTTCAATGAACTTACGTATCAAAGTTGATTACCGTATTTCGCCATGGAGAGTACCAGGGTCTCTTACAATCTACACAGGTTTTTTTGATTTATACCCCTGGGTATAGTGCATAGAGGAGGGTATACTAAACTATACGGAGGGTGTAAGGATCAAGTTATGAAAACAATCTGTTTTTGTATGACACGTGCATAAAACCTCCACTTATCATACCGGCTAAAAATACAGGTTATAGACCTGGTAATATGCCCGGTATAAATCAAGGGATACAATCAACCAGGGTATCCTACAAGACGAAACGGTACATGTAAACAATTTTTTTAAAGTTTTCTTTAATAGACGGGACAGGTTTTTCTGATTTCAGTTGAAGTTTTCACGATAACCACCTAACAAATTCGGTCAAATTTTCTTGTTTTAATTTTACGTATTTGTAAAGTTAAAATAAAAAAATTTGTCTAATTTTGTCAAGTGATTGTCGAGAAAATTTCGTTCAAAGTCTTAAAAAATTACTTTGAAAGACGAAAGTTTTTTTTTAAATTTTAAGCAAAGTTTTCTCGCCAACTACCTAACTAAGCTCGATGAAATTTTTTCATTTTGGTTCTGCAAATTTATAGAATTAAAATAAAAAAAATTTCATTAAATTTAATAGGTAGTTATTGAGAAACTTCAAAGCTTAGAAAAAATCCGTTCCATCTATTGATTAATTGCTTCTAAAAAATTTAGAACTTTGAGCAAAGCTTTCTCGACAGCTGCCTGACCAAATTCAATTAAAATGTTTTTATTCAATTTTGCGAGTGTGTAGAATTGAAATATAAAAAAATTTCATTGAATATAG